CTGTCGAAACCAGAAAAGGGTAAACCGTATATCTGCAAGGGATATGACGTCTTATGTGCAACAAGCCCATTCAGAGAACCTTCAAAACAGACTATGGCTGGGGAATTGATCGAAATGTAATTGTTTCAACTTTCAATTTAAACTATGTGCCTTGGTTCGGTAAATGTTGGATGTTAAATCATGCACGCTTGAAATGTTTTAAAACTGAACTGTACATCGCATCACTTCTAAAATTGCAAGATTTCAAATATGAACAACTCACTTCACCCAAAAATCGTAGATGTTGAGAAGACGCTCTTCATTTGGATCCTGTGGACTCTAGTAATACAAACACATGCACAAACACAAGCGGGTGAGTTCCCTGAACTTAGAACGCTGTACAAATCTAGTTTTGCACAAGATGAAGTGGAACAATTCAGACTACACGAGCAACGTGCAAGTGGTAGGTTGGGACCCGGTAATCCACGTGCTAATTTCCCACATCGGCACAATGGTCTGCCTCCAGTTTCTCATAACACGCCACCGACCACCTCCCTGACACCATGATATACTTACCACTTTAATCTGCTTGACAAACTGCTGAGCCGCCTTGGTGAACTTGTTCTCCAGCAGAAACGAGTAGACACATTTGTACAAGTCGCTCGGGACCGACTTGTGCGCCGCCATCTTTACCACGCTGGAAATGGAGGGAAGTGACCTAAAACGCTTCAGCACATGCGCTTGCGCATTGTGAAGACAACAAATAGTATGATAGCTTGTCAGTAGACGACCAGAGAGTCGCGCATGCGCAAACGATCAGTCTATGTAATCACTGACTACGGCAATTACACTAAGTCAAAATTGGCCATCCCCCAAAAATTTGCAGTGCGCGTTTGTAAACACCATCCATCCTTTTCCTATTCGGCTTTTTCTAACGGAGGTCGTGGCCGTGCTGGAACCTATCCCAGCTGACTTCGGTTAGGAGGTGGGGTACACACTGCACTAGTTTGCAGCCAATCGCAGGGCACACATACCCGAACATGCATTCACGCTCACAATCACACCTAGGGACAAATTAGTGTCCATTAACCTGCATGTATTTTATTTTGAGGTGGTGGGGGGCAATGTGGGAAGAAACCGGAGTACCCGGAGAAAACCCACACAGGCACGGGGAGAACATGCAAACTCCACGCAAGAAGGCCGGAATCGAACCCTGCACCTCTGCACTGTGAGACCAACATGCTAACCTGTCGATCACCGTGCCGCTCTTCGTGAAGACCTAATAACAGGCTATCTATCTGTCTATCTGTCGTATATTGTATTTTAACTAATAACCAGCAAAATTCAACATAACATTTCTAAAAAATAAGTAGAGTTGGATATTACCTCCTCATTCAAACTCGACTTTGTTTTGTGTACTCATCTGATAAAAGTAACTTTAGAGTTTATATTATTTAGACCGTAGCGGCTCTGCGCCGCTGATTGCGCTGTTAATAAAATTTTATTTTGTCTAAGTGTAGTTGCCGTAGTTACCTTTCAAAAATGGCTGACTTCGACACATGCGCGACTCACATCGTGCAGGGGTCACGGGTCGTGTATTCACAGCTCTCTTTCGTTCTAATAAAATCAAGCAATTTTGTTTTCATACCAGAATTTTATTCCCAAAAAATAATATATAGCAGAGATGTTCAGTGATGTCTTCTTAAAAATTTTGACTCAAATTACACATGCAGGCGCAGGATTTATACGTCACCGTGAAAGCCCTTTACCCTCGTGTCCTATCATGGTCGACTTTGCCAGGATTCTGAAAATGGCAGCTACCAATTGACCATCAATCCATCCTTTCGTGTTAATTCTTTACATCTTGACCGACTGAAACAATGCCACGCTACGAATTGGCTCTTATCCTGAAGGCGATGCAACGGCCGGAGACGGCAGCGGCTCTCCGGCGGACAGTGGAAACTTTAATGGTGCGGGGGGCTGTGGTGAGAGACATGGAGAATCTTGGAGAGAGACTCTTGCCTTATGTGATGACCAAACACAACCAGAGACACCGCCGAGGATCATACTTTTTGATTGACTTCTACGCGGCTCCCAGCATCCTCACGGACGTTGTCGATCACTTACATCGTGACGTTGACGTGGTGAGGCCCACTGTGCTGAAGAAGGACACGCAGAGTTCGAAACAAACATGTTGTGGTTCTCAACAGTGATGGAACGTACGTACGATAATAATATTATACTAATAGTGCAATTAGAATTATGGTATTTGATTATACTTAGAGGACCAATGGACCATATACACAATGGTATATCCTGAGAGGTGTGTCTGATGGGCAAAATTTGAGTGTTTACATTTTTTGAATTGGAGCTTAACATTGGCCATGCCAAATCACCCATGTGTTTAACCAAACGGATTTTGATTTCAATGAAACTTGCTGCAATTGATGACGGTGATGGCATAACATCACACAGCATTCCATACTTAGATTCTGTTTTGTTCCATCACAATCAACAAATACAGCAATTTTCATTAAAATCAAGATACGTTTGGTTAAATATTTCCGATTTTTGTTGGGGGGGGGTTGATTTGGCATGGACTGACTCCATTATGATGTGGCTGGACAGTGTAGAAGTTACATTATAAATAACAGTGTTATGAGTTTTTCACAGAATTAACAATGTAACATTTCCATGTTTTGATCTTGTAGTACAATTAACATGCTTATTTTTAAATTACACAAATGAAAAAAGTGTCTTAATTGGCCATAATTGAAGAAAATTTTCACATTTTGTATAGTTTTATTTGGGGCGAAAAAAGACATTTGAGGTCAATGTCTATTCTGCTTATGGGGATTGTTTCATGCTGATTAGGTTGTAACTTAACCTTATATTTATTTTTTAAACAGGTATTTGCAGTTCATATCCAGAGGATGTGCTGTGTGCTGCTTCTTTGACCTCTTCCATTGCCGTTGAACCGAACTTAGCTGTGATGTGATAATAATGAAAATAATTCTAATAAACATCTTTTGTCATTATTATGGTGGAAATTTGTGCAGCTTTTACTATCAGGCATTCAAAAACATTTTTTCAAAACGTAATACTTCTATTGTAGCACCATGGACCATGGTGCTACAATAGGTGTGCAAACTGACAGCTGTAATACTTGACTGACTCTCATTAAAGTTGCATGTGAATATAGTCACATTTAATACTGTTTCAATCTATCATCAAGCTCTATTTGCTGTGCGTTTCAAATCAAATACAGCAAAGTTGGCCAGCCTCCTTGACAAACTTCAGAAAGACAAAAAAAAAGGTCAATCAGTTTGTTATTGTCTTCTACACACATGAGCTCAGCAGGTTAACTCTTAGAAAACAATTACATTTCCATGGACTGTTTTTTTCTCATTAATTTCAACATTATCTTTCAGTATTTTTTTTTTATCATAAAAAATGTGAGCATATCTACTGTATGCAAATGCATGCAGTTCCTTCCTGGAGTTTGTGTGTTCTCCCGTGCTTACATGGTTTTCTTGCGGTACCCCAGCTTCCTTCCACATGTTCATTGGAGACTCTAAAATATCAATTATTTTAAAGCTGAGTGACAATTTAGGGTGGACTTTGTCTCTCCTACTTAAAAACACAAAACATCAAAAAGCTTGGAGAAAGAAAACACATGAAACGTACATGGTGTCAAATGGGAAGACGGCAGTCACTCCTGAGTTTTAAAGGCCAAAGAGTAAAAATGTGACATGAAAACCTGCAGAGTCGGGGCTTACCTCAGAGGCAGCCTGTTCCACAGCTTTGGAGCTGCTACCACGAAAGTCCCCACCACATCATTTACCTGTTTGTCCATCTTTAGGTGACAGTCGATTTTCACCCCAAGATTAGTCACTGCGTTGATTTGTGAGGATAAAGTGGTTCAGATCATGGATGGGTGGAAGTTTTGAGCCAGCCATGCTTCACCATCTTTGAGGCATGCAAAAAATAAATAAATAAATAACAAAAAACCTTTTAAGGACCAAACTTATTTCGGTGTAAGGGCATGTAAATTTAACTGTAACTGCATAAAGTGGAAACGGATGCCACGTTTAATAAAATTGGGAACAAGTACAAGGATTGAGCCCTGGGGCACTCTGCAATTGAGATGCACTGTAGAGGACAGGCTTTAATGACAACACAGTGCTCCACGTAGGAAAACAAAATATTGTGATCCACTGTGTCAAACGCTGAGGTGAGATCTAACAATTCACCAAGCTATGTTTGCTGTGCTTTTAACAAACGGCAACGTTTGTCAAGCACCTACAATTACCTAATGGAAGGTGGATGAATTAAAGGTCAATCTGTAAATGCCATAGCTGTTATCTTCTACTCACATGATCTCAGCAAATTAACAGTTAGTGGTGGTTCCCAAAATTTTGGCTTATGTACCCCCAAACCTTTTCGTTATATCAAGAGTAGTACCCTCTTACTCATACGTGTTGATGATTCTCTAAAAGTAGAACATGATACATTTGAAAAGAAAATTATTTTGTTTCATGTTGTTTTCAACTTGAAACAGGAACAAAACACTGATCAAATAATCATCAGACCCACTACTGTATAGCAGTTTTACTAAGCCAAGATTTGAACTCCAAACCTCAGAGCTGTTACATCGACGTGCCAGCCACTACATATATCCAGCAGCTGAATTCATACATTTATACTAAAATATTCTTTCAATGAAAGAGTATAGAAAATATAAAACGAATAATTAAAAACGCAATGCTAACAAATGTGAAAACTTACATTTCATGCATTCTTGGCCCATGTGTAATCATGTAAACGAAAAATTTAGAAATATGTAAAATACATCTTTTAAAACTCAAGGTTGAAAGTGCACGCACATCCTAAAATGAAGGAATCGAATGTGGTACTCTGTACTTGTAGCAATCTTGCTACGGAACAGAAAGCTGGCTTGGCGGCGGTCACGAGTCAAGTGACTGTTAAGTCACATGTTTATGCTGAGTAGTCAGCTGACTGGCAGCCATAAAGGCTTGAACACAAGTCGCTGCTTGCGTTTTGCACTGGAAGCTCTTACCTCCAGCGGTGTCACACTGACGAGCCAGAAAACAGCGGAGTCATGCTGCTTCTCACTCTCCTTTTCGTGTCCTCAGGTAATGTCCAAACTCATAAGGAAAATTGAACATTGATACATTATTAGTCATATACGGAAGTGGCAGTGAAGTCCTTTTAGGTTGTTAGCTATTTATTAAAAAGCGGAAGCGACACAGTGTCGCCTTCAAAGACAATACACACCAGTAGAACACAAAACGATCGACTGCAGCTGCTACCACGAACTTGTTCGTATAATACCCTTGTCGTACATTTCCCCAAGTGTGTAAATTGTATGACTATAATGTGTCGAGGTTAAATATTAATTGGCGCTTCCTGTTCAGATAGCGTTGTTAGCATCGAAGCTAGCGGATGGTTAGGAGACGAGCCCCACCAGTTAAACCATGTTTTTATTTTATTTTTTTCCACCGCAGAAATAAGGCATTTAGAGGTTTACTACTCATTTAAATAATTCATTTATTGATATCTTACACTCCTGCACTGCTGTTTTTTTTTCAATTTTTTGGTCACGTGTGTCTTGACCTTATTTTCTGTGAATGTTGTTAACTCTCAAGTCTCGTTATGCTGAAAAGGGAATTTCGTTCAAAGTTAGCTGGCACAAACTTTCATTCAGCATTAAAAGGGGGCGAACGCCTGCTCTGGTTTCCTTCTGCTTGTTCCTGTTTCGGCTGCACCGTTATGACAACATTTTTCAGCTACCCTGCAAGATAAAAGACTTGCAGTACAGTACTTCTAAATAAAGAGGTCATATGACGCATATTTTGCTATATAGCTGCCCTTTTAATAACCGGACTTGAAAAATTCATTTTTATTGCTTAACCAAATCTACACAGATATTTTGGTTTCGTGTGTTAAGTGCTTATCTTTTCTCCCAATTCTCGTGAGACTGAGAGTAAACACTTACTGTATTTGTTCTGTAGACTTTGAACGTTCACCTTCTTGAATTTTCTGCAAAGATATTCACTAATGGCTTACTTAGTCCAGAAGCCTCGGCCCACTAATATATCTCTCCTTGCACAAAATCCTGATTATTAGCTTAATCTTAAGCCTTCTAAAGAGGAAAAGTAGTTTTTGTTTTTGGACAGTCGGTCCCCCTTTCCCGCTTTTTAAATTTTATTTTATTTTTATAATTCTTTCAGGATTATTTAGTGAGGTTCAACCTGGAACACAGCCTGTTATTTTGGCTCTATGGTCACATGACTGAAGTGAAGGGGGTGTGCGGTTTCAATCTGTTTTGCTAAACCACTATCTATGCAGCCGCTTGCTGATATTTTTATAGTCCTGTATACATGGTCTTCTTTCCATTTTCCTTTAAAACACATTAATCAAGCACAATCTCTTCTATGACTGAGCAACCTTGTTTTTTTTTCTTTGATTACAATGTCAAAATTTTTCATAAGACCTTCGTTAACTGCAAATGCATTTTGCTTAACTGTGATAACTAGAAACTACGTTCACACACACACACACACACACACACACACACACACACACACACACACATGCACACACAAATGCAGTATATTCTCAACGTCTTACTTTGACAAGTAAATCGTCCTACTCGGATAAATGGAGAGAGTACTGTTTGAAAGGAAATTAAACTCTAATAAAGGCTTAATGTGTTTTAACATTACCGTTTCTAACTGATGATGATCTTTAAAAAATGTGTACTTTTAACTGCTTATTTTCCAGCGTACATGTTCTTATCATTGTTATGGCTGACCTCTTTTCTGGGGTTGGTCACGTGATGTTTGCAAGATGATCCCTTGGGCACTTTGACTAGCAATTTAGCACTGTTGCATCACTGTACGACAAGTGACAAAGAACATATTACACTGGTGTCTGCAAATGAAGAGACATTTGAACCATTTAATAGACGACTCCATGCGAGCCATAAACCCTTTGAAAATCTAAAATGAATATCAATATTTTTTTCCTTTTTCTTTTCAATTCTGTAGCAGAGAATTGTTGAAAGCGAAATGTCAGCCCATCCGCCATTTTGTACGTGGCTTTAATATTCGATATGAATTGCGCAAATAATATTGGAAACCTGATCTAGGATAACATCATACAATCAAAAGCAACAACTTTGTTTAAATCTACTGAGTTTTACTTGATGGATCTCCAAGAAGGAAGCATACTCACAATTTGCTTCACTTTGCCACATCCAATACGGCTGCACCGTCGACGCACTCAAGAAGGCGTCTTTCGATATGTAATGTAAATGTTGTCGATGAGAATACTTTCTTGCGGCTGTCGCAAAAGGCGCCATTCAAGATGGGATTGGCAGTGCTACGCGAATGTATGGAACAAAGTAAGTGCTATGTCATCTGTAGGTATTACGCGAGCAAAAAGTAAAGTGCCCATCTCTGCACATTCTGATTGACCCGGATCGATCTTAAACTGCTCTTGTCTGAACCTCCTCTGAAATATCCGTTTGGTAATTAATTTTAGCCAAATGTGGAATCCCAGACTGCTTGATTATAAATGTGTGGCACAGATAAAAGCCAAACGGTTGGAATGGATTTTCTTGTTTTTCGATGGAAGTGGTAGTCTATAACAGATTGTTCATCACCTATTTTGCAGTTGGGGCCACCCCTCTGCTGGGCACAGAGCAGTGTGCCCGTGGACCCTCTTACTGGTGTCAGAATGTGAAGACTGCGTCTCTGTGTGGTGCTGTGACTCACTGCCAGCAAAACGTCTGGAACAAACCCCAGATGGTGAGACTCCTCTTCCTTTGTGCATAATTACTTCCATTTTCCTTTTATCTGAGCCAGTAATTATATTTTGTATTTTTCCAATCAAAATTAGACATTTCTAACACTCCTAGAATTGTCTTCTTTAAATGACACTTTTTTTTTTTTTTGTAATCTTGTTCTAGAAAAGCGTGCCGTGTGACTTGTGTAAGGAAGTGGTCATGGTAATTTTGCAGATTTTGAAGGACAATGCCACAGAGGTATTAAAGAATACTTTCTAATTGACTTTCTATGCTTTTATTCATATATTTTCCCAAAATGTTGAGTTACTGGTGTGATTGCAGGCTGAGGTTCTTGGTTACCTGGAGAAAGCCTGCCAGCTCATTCCGGACAAAGGTTTGAGTGCTGAGTGCAAGGAGTTGGTTGACAGTTACTACCCCATCATCGTGTCAATCATCATTGGAGAGCTGGTGAATGGTCTTCTCTCTCCTTTTGAGTGCAGACTGCTTTGTCTTTAGTCAGTGAGATAAATGATGCTGCTACCCGTATGAGTGTCGATGAAAAAGTGTCTTGTCCAGAAAGTGCCAAGAGCTGACCTGATGGTATTGATAGGGAAGTGATTTCAAGTTCAAGTTGAAGTGGAAGTGGAAGTGGAAATGGAGAAGACATTATGCAAGACAGAGCCTTGGAACAGGCCATTGTTGCCACACATGCTTTATGCTTTCACACAGGATGTGTGTAAGTGTTGTTCATTTTTGTTTTTTTGTTTTTAGGAAAATCCTGGTGTGGCTTGTGGAGCCATTGGCTTGTGTCTCTCCCAGCAGTTGGCCCTGGCTGAATTTCACGAGCAGCTGATGTCCAATGAGATCCCACAGATTGACCTCTCCAAGTCAGCCACACCTTTCCTCCTCAATGTGCCTGGGCTGTTGTACCCACAGAAAACCCCCAAACCAGAAACTCCAGTCAAAGTATGCTCTCGGCACTGCTGTCAACTTGTACGGTCAGCAACGGTCATTAAAAATTGTCTCCTTTCTCTCCTTAGGGAAGTCATGATGTATGCCAGGACTGCATCAAGTTCATGACTGATGCACAGTCGGAGCAAAAGGACAATCCCTCATTTGTAAACTCACTTATTGTGAAATTTGAAGAGAATTGCGACAAGATGGGACCTGGTTTGTCAGATATGGTGAGGGCAACACACTATTGTTTACAGTTTTCTGTGTCTTACCACCTCCCACAAAATATTGATACAACCAGTGTAGGGTTACAGGACGAAATCCTTTTATTGTTCCTTTTTTTTTTCATTTCATAACAGTCATCACAACACTACAAATAGTGAAGAATCTAAGCTTTATCTGTGTTTATTTTAATGCTAGTCAACCTCTGATTTGTTCAAATATTCCCATTAAGAATATCCATGCAATATCTGTACTATTATTAAAAATTTCACTCCATGCAATGTTTTACAACACATTTCAACATTGATGGTTGTCATACAAATCAGAAGTTAAACCTTATGTAACAAACATTAAAATACTCATAATTGCTAAATGGCTAACAATAAGAAATGTAGCTGATGCAACACACGCATGGCTTAACGTCTACTGTCATGCAAGTATGACATGAATTCAACCGCTGGTGTTAAAAAGTAACACACCAAACTTTATCGCCACAATTGACCAGATGGGCGCAAGCTACTTGTCAGCTAGCGTGGAAAGCTAACATAGGTCGACATTCGTAATTTTTTTTTTCCTTTTTGGACAAAACTGATGACTCAAGTCCATAATACAAGTAATAGGTAATCAGTTATTTGTTCACAATTGGTCAGTAGCAGTCTAAAAAAGCCAACAGGAACCAACAGGAATCGGAACAAGAAAACAGGAAGTGTCAACGTACTGTGATACAACTGGTAACTGAAGTCAACATAGTTTAACAGAAACAGTACTACTGTGCGATTACCCACCAGGCTACTGAAACGTGCTTGTGAATATTCTCCTTCATCCAGGTCATTTCATTCTCGGGGCATTGAATGGAAGGCACCTGGATTGTTCTTGTTTCATCGGTCGAAGGCTTGGTTAGAAATGCAACCAGCCCGAGTTAGTGTGGAAAACCCAACTCTTGAAGCTCCAAGTTGGAGGGATGCCCCAAACCACAAATAGTATCATTCTTTTGAATTGGCTACTGAAATGTTCGATAATGCTGGAAAAAAAAAAGTATGTGGACACCTCCAGAGTCTCTGCTTAGAATGAGCCCACTTGTTTCATCCCAGAGTGTGGAGTGTACAGTGTGTAGTCCACGTTCTTCTGGTCTTCCCATTGACCTTCATAAAGAGTTGCAAAAAAACAGTTAATTGTGTAGTAATGTCTACTGAGGTGCAGTTTAACTCATTACACGCAAGGCATAATTTTTACAAAATATATTTTTAGAAATGTGCATTTCTTTTCACTTTTACAGTGTTCCAAATTTCGATTCCGCTGTAATGTAATCAGAAAGTTTCACTTTTGGGGGGAAGTGTCATAGAACCTTTTGAGATCTTAGCCCTAAAGTGTTAAAAAAAAAAAAAAAAAAAAATCAGTTCACCGCTTTGATTTTAAAACGTCTACGCCAGGGGTGTCAAACATACGGCCCGCGGACCGGATACGGCCCGCAAAGGAGTTTAATCCGGCCCGCGAGATGATTATATAAAGCATGGTGTCAAACATACGGCCCGCGGGCCGGAACCGGCCCGCAAGGAGGTTCAATTAGGCCCACAGGATAATTTAAAAGTGAAAAAAATGCATTAAAGACAGAATTAATATTTTTAATAAGGTGCAATTCATTGAGTATCCGCAAGGGGACACTGTTTTGATCAGAGAAGAAGACAACAGCAGCCTCAGTCCGTCACTGTGACAGACCCATGACAGCAGACGCTATCAATAGCACTCTCTCTCGGCACTGCTGTCAACTTGTACGGTCAGCAACGGTCATTAAAAATTGTCTCCTTTCTCTCCTTAGGGAAGTCATGATGTATGCCAGGACTGCATCAAGTTCATGACTGATGCACAGTCGGAGCAAAAGGACAATCCCTCATTTGTAAACTCACTTATTGTGAAATTTGAAGAGAATTGCGACAAGATGGGACCTGGTTTGTCAGATATGGTGAGGGCAACACACTATTGTTTACAGTTTTCTGTGTCTTACCACCTCCCACAAAATATTGATACAACCAGTGTAGGGTTACAGGACGAAATCCTTTTATTGTTCCTTTTTTTTTTCATTTCATAACAGTCATCACAACACTACAAATAGTGAAGAATCTAAGCTTTATCTGTGTTTATTTTAATGCTAGTCAACCTCTGATTTGTTCAAATATTCCCATTAAGAATATCCATGCAATATCTGTACTATTATTAAAAATTTCACTCCATGCAATGTTTTACAACACATTTCAACATTGATGGTTGTCATACAAATCAGAAGTTAAACCTTATGTAACAAACATTAAAATACTCATAATTGCTAAATGGCTAACAATAAGAAATGTAGCTGATGCAACACACGCATGGCTTAACGTCTACTGTCATGCAAGTATGACATGAATTCAACCGCTGGTGTTAAAAAGTAACACACCAAACTTTATCGCCACAATTGACCAGATGGGCGCAAGCTACTTGTCAGCTAGCGTGGAAAGCTAACATAGGTCGACATTCGTAATTTTTTTTTTCCTTTTTGGACAAAACTGATGACTCAAGTCCATAATACAAGTAATAGGTAATCAGTTATTTGTTCACAATTGGTCAGTAGCAGTCTAAAAAAGCCAACAGGAACCAACAGGAATCGGAACAAGAAAACAGGAAGTGTCAACGTACTGTGATACAACTGGTAACTGAAGTCAACATAGTTTAACAGAAACAGTACTACTGTGCGATTACCCACCAGGCTACTGAAACGTGCTTGTGAATATTCTCCTTCATCCAGGTCATTTCATTCTCGGGGCATTGAATGGAAGGCACCTGGATTGTTCTTGTTTCATCGGTCGAAGGCTTGGTTAGAAATGCAACCAGCCCGAGTTAGTGTGGAAAACCCAACTCTTGAAGCTCCAAGTTGGAGGGATGCCCCAAACCACAAGCTGAAGTCTTATGCGATATGCTGATGTCTGTTTGTCGTTAGCGTTTGCAACTTTAAAAAAAAAAAAGTGACCTTGGAAGCACACGCAGTTCTCACTGACTGACTTGTCGCTCTTCCTCTTGTAGTGCAAGCAGTATATTAGCATGTATGGCAGCGATGTTCTTCAGAAGATCTTTTCTTTGGTGAGTCCCTCATTGTCATGACATACCTAAAAGTGACTCATCGAACATGTCTATTCATAAAAACTAAAAGGACAAGATTTTGTTCGAATTGGTGAAGCTCGTCTGACCTGCTGAGATGTATATCTCTCCCCCAACCCCCTTCAACATTTATTCACCCTTTCATTCAAATCCTTTCTTTTTCCCTTTTGGCTTTGTGCTGCTCCTCAGGAACAGGTAGGTCTTGTATGATCACACTGGAGCTTTTTAACCCTTAGCTTTTGCTACGCATATTGACCTGTGCTAGTGTTACTTACCCAACGCTGTAGTGACTAATGTCATCGAGTTGCACTGCCTTAACAGACCATAACATTTTGCTGCTTTTAATAAACTGCACAAGGATTGCTTGTTTTACCACATCAAGTAAGCATACTGAATATGTGATGGGTTCTTGAGTCTTGTAACCCGCTAGAGCAAATTAGTCTGTTGTGACTTGCATTGGAAGCACCATCTTGAATTGACTGTACATCTGTTTTCTGATTTGGGGCGGATTTGATCCAATACCTCACTCACTGCTGCACAAATGTACACTGAAGGATTTGCATTAATGTGAAGTTCCAGCAATTTACATTACCGTATATCTTAATTTAACTTGTGCATGGGGGATTAAAAATTGTGGAATGGTATGCGGGTTGCATGGATGTAGCATAAGGGCGATCTATGGCAATTTGAAACTTTTTCTCTCCACAGGATCCCAAGGATGTCTGTTCCATTGCTGGCTTCTGTAGTGCAGGCAAAAATTCCACTCCTATGTTGAAGCTGCAGGCTGCTAAAATTTTACCTGCCTCTAAGACGGTGCCTGCTCTGAATCTTGTTCCTGCCACCAAGGTGGAATCTGCTAAGTTGACTAAAGTAACCAGTCAGGTTAGATGCTCTTGTTATTTTTAATTGGCTGAAACAAAATTCCATTTTATAAGACAATTTCATAATAGCTGTGTTCTGTGTTCCAGCCTATGGTGCGAGTTCGGGATTCCCCTACATGTGTTCTATGTGAGGTTGTGATGGAGCAGTTGGAAAGCATTTTGAAAAATCAGTCAACTGAGGTAGGATGTGCGTACATAAAGCTAACAGTTGTTTATGTAGTTTCTGTTACACATGAATCCATCCTCTACATTTGTCCCAGGAAGAGGTGGTTGCAGCTTTGGAGAAGGTTTGTGATTATTTGCCCGCCTCCATGACTAATGAGTGCAAGGATCTGATCAGCACCTATGGCAAGGCCATCTTTGAGCTATTGGTGCAGCAGGCTGACCCAAAGACTGTTTGCACCATCCTGGCACTCTGCAATAATGCCAGACCTGCATATATTCGTAAGTGCTCGTTTTGTACATCCATCCATCCATTTCCAACACCGCTTATCCTGTACAGGGTCGCGGGGGAATACGGGAGCCAATCCCAGCTGACTGCGGGCAGAAGTCAGGTTACAGTCCGAACTGGTCGAAAGTCAGTCGCCGGGCGCACTTATAGAGACAAACAAACATTCACAGTCACTGAGTGGGAACCGATCCCACACTGCCTGCACATAAGTCTGTATCATGTACCACTACACCATCAGCGACCCTCATTCCATTGAATGAAAGCAAAAAGTCCCACCCAACACTACAACGTTCTCCATGATGCTGTTTGATCTTCAGTTGGGTTTAGTGAACATGAATGTTTTAAACAATAGAAAAAAAAACCCTCTTCAAATGTTTATATTCAGAGGTTCCATTGTTTAAACGGCTGCATGATGTCTGGTGGCGATGTGTTTTCGTTATTTAGAACATAAGGTTACATTTATTTTTAATTTGTTTTACATGTTTCATTTTTGTGGTGAAGAATTGTTGTAATTGATTACAGAGGGTAAACGTGTCCACAAGCAAAGGTACATGAAATGGAAATATACATATTTGACTTACTGATTTAAAAATACATTTACATACAGTGAAAGACCAACCTTCTGGTTTTACAAACACTAAAAAAACTCTTTCAGAGGTCTGAAAGTCTTAACCCTTGCTCATGTAGACAAAAAGTCATTAATACCTGCACATCTAATTTAGCTGTGTGTGTGCATATTTGATGAACAACATCTTAATCTTGGAATTCAAACTTGAAAATGCACCAAGTTGTACTGTACTCATGATCTAAAGCCACGACTCATTCCAGCTGCCCTTGATAAGACTACCTTCAAAGGTGTTGCCTACTGCAAGGTGTGCAAGCTGGCTGTCACCTACATAGATGAAATCCTTGAAAAGAATGCGACTGAGGCACAAATTGAAGAGGCAGTGAGGAAAGTTTGCAATTACTTGCCCGCCTCCATCCAGACAGAGGTGACAAGATTCACATCAAACTATGTGAAACATCTCTTATTCTGACTGTCATGTTAAGTCTTGTTTGCCAACAGTGTGACCAGCTGGTTCAAGAGTACGAGCCCATGCTTGTGCAAATAATTCTTCAGACGCTCGACCCAGACTTTGTGTGCCTGGTGGGTATATTGTCGTTTTCACCATGTTGTGTAGGTCGGGAAAGTTTGGTCTGGGCCAGTCAAGCAGTGTTTATGTGTGTGCATGTGTTAAAAGCAAATTGGCGCCTGTCCGGAGCCTCTGCGCAGACTGATGGGAAGAGAGCTCTGCGCCTTGGGACCTTCATTCTGGTGCAAGAACATGGCGACAGCAGTCCAATGCGATGTACGTCACTTGCACATACACTACTCTATTGAGTAGAATTTCTGTCAAATGTTTCAGTGATTGTTGCACAACTTGCAGTTCTCTCATAAGGAGCTCAATGGCAAAATGCTAACAGGTGTTTGATCTGTGTATTGAACAATACATTTTCTGGTTGAGTTAGAATCAGCATTTCACTTGATTGCATCATTAGACAAAGATGGACGGCACCCTACAACTGATCAACAATGTCTTGCTACTGTCAGGCTTCAAACAGGATCTTCCCTGAGGAAAGTGGCAACTAGCTTAGGCACATCACAGAAAGGCACAGAAGTGGACATCCTTGAAAATGTATTGGTCAATTCATGGATCAAACACCTGGTGTTAATTTTGCCATTCAGATGGTTGGAGAACAGAAATTTCTGCAAAACACTGAAGCACGGAACATGGACATGTTTTGCAATGATCAAATTAAGTTCACCTGTAAAGTTACTCGTGCATTTTAGGTTTATTCGGAAATCTCACCTGAGCGCTAAATATAACTTTTTGTGAATAGATTTATTATGATTAGTATTATTCATATGGATGCATTTGAATTACAAACTGAAGTAATCCTAACTTTCAGGGGTCTCGTTTGTCTTTCAGGCGGTGGCTCACTGCAAGCGCCACATGTGGGCATAGAAGAGGATCAGCACCCACTGACACGTCTTAGGGAATTAACTGCATTGCTGCTTCCTACTTCAACTGTTCATTAGTTTCTCGACTAGACTAAGTGACTGTATAATTTGATGTGATTTGTGGAAAGGGACAGGACTTTTTTTTTTCCCCCCTTTGGGGTAGGGGTGGGGGTGAATTACATGTACACAGCCAATTTATCACTTAAGATTTTTCAGTTTGGCATATTTGAGTTGTATTCGTGTGCTTGCTGCATCTGATATGTAGTAACGAAAGTTAAGTTTCACATGTGGTACCGTGTCAAGAGCAGGTCATTGTTATGGCTTTTTCTCCTTGCAAGAGCAAACAGATTACCGGTATGTATGAAAAATGAGATTTAACCTTTTAGCAGCATGTCGAAGTCTCAAGAAAATCTGTATTTTGTCAGTCATGTTTTATTGTGATGTTTTTTTTTAGGAGATAATGTGGCCTGGAGTTTTCCTTCCATCGTTTGCACTTTCGCAGTGGTTTGTAACTGGTAGTTTTTACACCAAGCATCTTCTCTTCTGCATTAATACTATGAGCCAGCTGTAAATTGATCAGATAATTTTAACGATTAAAATGATCCAAATCCCTGGAACTGAATGTGTCATTTAAACTTTCCGTAAGTGCATACAACTTTTAGGAAAATCTTGACTATTGTTTTGAAATCAGGATGTTGGATGGGAGACTGTCTCCCACAAATGTCAGCCATTGATTCCAATGTTGTTTATTTTTTGTCCCCTCCCCCCAATACTCCACCAGACTAGGTAGCCAATGAAAAGGTCAGATTTTCCTTTTAACTTGATTTGCAAATTGAAGTGAACAGAATCCACCATAAATGAAAGAATACGCAACAAACAAAAGGAGTCGCAAGCTATTCACATTGCTTTTGTGGCGGTATCTCATGAGCAACGTGGAGGAGGAAGCTGTTGTGCAAGGTATGTCATCAAAAACAAGGCCTTACAACACGTGTTGAGCCATTTGAGCAACAAACACCCAAATGTTGCAGTGGAAAGCATGAAAATGTGAGTATAGAGTTCATCCACATGTACATGCACATGTAAACTGCACTATAGCTGCTAATACAGTACCTAGCTATGAGTCACTGGACAAAAGCATGCAGTCGTCATTTATTTGATCATGCACATTTGCAAATTGCAATTATGCTATAATTTAAAAATTATGTTCACACTTTAGGGCATGTTATTTCCGAGACGGTCCATTTTTAGTTAAGTGCTTTTTAAATTTTGCTCTGCATTTTTTTTGTACTGTTGAGAATAAATGAAAAAAAAAAGTGTTAAAATGTTGAATTAATATAATTATATTTGTTGTCAGTCACAATGCTTTAAAAGTGATGATTACTTGCTTGTACAGTATATGAATGTACTATCAAAAGGCCCCTTGCAGTTGAAGCCAGACGGCAGCCATCTTACATTGCTCCTGTTACTAAATACTTTTGTTTTTACATTGAAGACACTGTTATGAGTGCGTGTTTCATGCCAAGATCACGGAGGGAGCAATGTGAGCCTCTTAAAATAACCAATTTCATTCTTTGTATCGACTATTCCGAGTATATTATCTCAATACAGTAATGTGAATTATGACTGGCAAAGTTTAGGTTTACATATCCCAGCCACTTTTTCCTGGTGGGATTTGATTTCATTTCATTGTTGATTTTGACAACATGATGCAGTCCAATCTGTGAGTAGCATTAAGTTATGCACCTCATATAAGAGAAAATTACAAATTGTTTTCTTAGCGATTAAATTTGCATGTAGCACTTCTCCCAGACTTTTGGTACAACTATATGTCATACACGGTGGCAATTTCGCCGTAGAGTCAGAAAACAACGTGAAAACGCCGTGTGGAGAAATATGTCTTCAAGCGAGCAAAGTGGTTGGCAACGTAAGATGGCGTCCTGACCGTAAGCGACACATTTAGTAATTTCATATACTGTATGTCTGTTGCCAGATTGAATTTCAATAAATAAATACACAAACAAACAACGTTCTCCTCAAAAATCTCCCGGTCTTCCATGGGGGTAAAAAAGAAGAAGGTGATTGGAAAAACGAGCACCGGCAGCAGCTCTGAAGTGCGGAGGCTTCAAAATAGTGTGCAACAAGCATTCCCTTATAAGAACAGGGGAAAACAGCGAAGTGATGCGGACGATTTCTGTCACATTTAACAATGTGCACGGAAGAAGACAGTAGCGTCCTAATCTCTAATTTCAGGCAAATTCATACCTTATATTGAATACATATCTCTGCCGCACATCACTAGTGTATATTATATTTTTATTTTAAAAAAGCAAAAAACGAGAGAACCTCATGAAAATCGTTTTTTTTTGTAAGACCCCCCCACATATCGGTTAAGCAACTTCCTGAGCCCAAAGAAAGAAAAAAAAATACTGGCGCCGTACCTGTATACGTGTAAAATACATATATGTCCATTCAGTAATCCGTATTTGTGTGTGAACTGAAATGCGTCAATAACGTAAAGAAATGCACCAGAAAAGTCATAATTACCTTGTATATTTGTATGTATGTATGTATGTATGTATGTATGTATGTATGTATGTATGAATGTATGCATTACTAACTGTAAATAAATACAGCGATAAATGAGCGTGCCTTCAGTGTCGCGTGATAACGCGTGATAGCCTCAAAACAGGTCATGTATGGAGCCTCGACCGTGGCAATGAAATCATTACCAGGTACAGAGAGGTAAGACGGATATAAATTATGGTTCATAATTTTGTCGCTGACTCATTTTTCAGCAGTTTTAAGAGTAACTTTATTTTGGAACATCAATATCGGATCTCATTCTCAAACGTGCCATCCGGTATATTTTCAGAATTACAGTATTAATTTTTCCATTAAGTTATGCACCTCATATAAGAGAAAATTACAAATTGTTTTCTTAGCGATTAAATTTGCATGTAGCACTTCTCCCAGACTTTTGGTACAACTATATGTCATACACGGTGGCAATTTCGCCGTAGAGTCAGAAAACAACGTGAAAACGCCGTGGAGAAATCAATGTCTTCAAGCGAGCAAAGTGGTTGGCAACGTAAGATGGCGTCCTGACCGTAAGTGACATTGTTAGTAATTTCATATACTGTATGTCTGTTGCCAGATTGAATTTCAATAAATAAATACACAAACAAACAACGTTCTCCCCAAAAATCTCCCGGTCTTCCATGGAGGTAAAAAAGAAGAGGGTGACTGGAAAAACGAGCACCAGCAGCAGCTCTGAAGTGCGGAGGCTTCAAAATAGTGTGCAACAAGCATTCCCTTATAAGAACAGGGGAAAACAGCGAAGTGATGCGGACGATTTCTGTCACATTTAACAATGTGCACGGAAGAAGACAGTAGCGTCCTAATCTCTAATTTCAGGCAAATTCATACCTTATATTGAATACATATCTCTGCCGCACATCACTAGTGTATATTATATTTTTATTTTAAAAAAGCAAAAAACGAGAGAACCTCATGAAAATCGTTTCTTTTTGTAAGACCCCCCCACATATCGGTTAAGCAACTTCCTGAGCCCAAAGAAAGAAAAAAAAATACTGGCGCCGTACCTGTATACGTGTAAAATACATATATGTCCATTCAGTAATCCGTATTTGTGTGTGAACTGAAATGCGTCAATAACGTAAAGAAATGCACCAGAAAAGTCATAATTACCTTGTATATTTGTATGTATGTATGTATGTATGTATGTATGTATGTATGTATGTATGAATGTATGCATTACTAACTGTAAATAAATACAGCGATAAATGAGCGTGCCTTCAGTGTCGCGTGATAACGCGTGATAGCCTCAAAACAGGTCATGTATGGAGCCTCGACCGTGGCAATGAAATCATTACCAGGTACAGAGAGGTAAGACGGATATAAATTATGGTTCATAATTTTGTCGCTGACTCATTTTTCAGCAGTTTTAAGAGTAACTTTATTTTGGAACATCAATATCGGATCTCATTCTCAAACGTGCCATCCGGTATATTTTCAGAATTACAGTATTAATTTTTCGAAAATAATACATTGCGTTTTACGTTCCACGCCTCAAAAGGAATTAGGGGTAGGGGTGGGGGTGAATTACATGTACACAGCCAATTTATCACTTAAGATTTTTCAGTTTGGCATATTTGAGTTGTATTCGTGTGCTTGCTGCATCTGATATGTAGTAACGAAAGTTAAGTTTCACATGTGGTACCGTGTCAAGAGCAGGTCATTGTTATGGCTTTTTCTCCTTGCAAGAGCAAACAGATTACCGGTATGTATGAAAAATGAGATTTAACCTTTTAGCAGCATGTCGAATTCTCAAGAAAATCTGTATTTTGTCAGTCATGTTTTATTGTGATGTTTTTTTTTAAGTTAAGTTTCACATGTGGTACCGTGTCAAGAGCAGGTCATTGTTATGGCTTTTTCTCCTTGCAAGAGCAAACAGATTACCGGTATGTATGAAAAATGAGATTTAACCTTTTAGCAGCATGTCGAATTCTCAAGAAAATCTGTATTTTGTCAGTCATGTTTTATTGTGATGTTTTTTTTAGGAGATAATGTGGCCTGGAGTTTTCCTTCCATCGTTTGCACTTTCGCAGTGGTTTGTAACTGGTAGTTTTTACACCAAGCATCTTCTCTTCTGCATTAATACTATGAGCCAGCTGTAAATTGATCAGATAATTTTAACGATTAAAATGATCCAAATCCCTGGAACTGAATGTGTCATTTAAACTTTCCGTAAGTGCATACAACTTTTAGGAAAATCTTGACTATTGTTTTGAAATCAGGATGTTGGATGGGAGACTGTCTCCCACAAATGTCAGCCATTGATTCCAATGTTGTTTATTTTTTGTCCCCTCCCCCCAATACTCCACCAGACTAGGTACCCAATGAAAAGGTCAGATTTTCCTTTTAACTTAGATTTGCAAATTGAAGTGAACAGAATCCACCATAAATGAAAGAATACGCAACAAACAAAAGGAGTCGCAAGCTATTCACATTGCTTTTGTGGCGGTATCTCCTGAGCAACGTGGAGGAGGAAGCTGTTGTGCAAGGTATGTCATCAAAAACGAGGCCTTACAACACGTGTTGAGCCATTTGAGCAACAAACACCCAACTGTTGCAGTGGAAAGCATGAAAATGTGAGTAGAGTTCATCCACATGTACATGCACATGTAAACTGCACTATAGCTGCTAATACAGTACCTAGCTATGTGTCACTGGACAAAATCATGCAGTCATGTCATTTATTTGATCATGCACATTTGCAAATTGCAATTATGCTATAATTTAAAAATTATGTTCACACTTTAGGGCATGTTATTTCCGAGACGGTCCATTTTTAGTTAAGTGCTTTTTAAATTTTGCTCTGCATTTTTTGTACTGTTGAGAATAAATGGAAAAAAAAAGTGTTAAAATGTTGAATTAATAAAATTATATTTGTTGTCAGTCACAATGCTTTAAAAGTGATGATTACTTACTTGTACAGTATATGACTGTACTATCAAAAGGCCCCTTGCAGTTGAAGCCAGACGGCAGCCATCTTACATTGCTCCTGTTACTACTTTTGTTTTTACATTGAAGACACTGTTATGAGTGCGTGTTTCATGCCAAGATCACGGAGGGAGCAATGTGAGCCTCTTAAAATAACCAATTTCATTCTTTGTATCAACTATTCCGAGTATATTATCTCAATACAGTAATGTGAATTATGACTGGCAAAGTTTAGGTTTACATATCACAGTCACTTTTTCCTGGTGGGATTTGATTTCATTTCATTGTTGATTTTGACAACATGATGCAGTCGAATCTGTGAGTAGCATTAAGTTATGCACCTCATATAAGACAAAATTACAAATTGTTTTCTTAGCGATCAAATTTGCATGCAGCACTTCTCCCAGACTTTTGGTACAACTATGTCATACACGGTGGCAATTCGCCGTAGAGTCAGAAAACAACGTGAAAACGCCGTCGAGAAATCAATGTCTTCAAGCGAGCAAAATGGTTGGCAACGTAAGATGGCGTCCTGACCGTAAGTGACATTGTTAGTAATTTCATATACTGTATGTCTGTTGCCAGATTGAATTTCAATAAATAAATACACAAACAAACAACGTTCTCCTCAAAAATCTCCCGGTCTTCCATGGGGGTAAAAAAGAAGAAGGTGATTGGAAAAACGAGCACCGGCAGCAGCTCTGAAGTGCGGAGGCTTCAAAATAGTGTGCAACAAGCATTCCCTTATAAGAACAGGGGAAAACAGCGAAGTGATGCGGACGATTTCTGTCACATTTAACAATGTGCACGGAAGAAGACAGTAGCGTCCTAATCTCTAATTTCAGGCAAATTCATACCTTATATTGAATACATATCTCTGCCGCACATCACTAGTGTATATTATATTTTTATTTTAAAAAAGCAAAAAACGAGAGAACCTCATGAAAATCGTTTTTTTTTGTAAGACCCCCCCACATATCGGTTAAGCAACTTCCTGAGCCCAAAGAAAGAAAAAAAAATACTGGCGCCGTACCTGTATACGTGTAAAATACATATATGTCCATTCAGTAATCCGTATTTGTGTGTGAACTGAAATGCGTCAATAACGTAAAGAAATGCACCAGAAAAGTCATAATTACCTTGTATATTTGTATGTATGTATGTATGTATGTATGTATGTATGTATGTATGTATGTATGTATGTATGAATGTATGCATTACTAACTGTAAATAAATACAGCGATAAATGAGCGTGCCTTCAGTGTCGCGTGATAACGCGTGATAGCCTCAAAACAGGTCATGTATGGAGCCTCGACCGTGGCAATGAAATCATTACCAGGTACAGAGAGGTAAGACGGATATAAATTATGGTTCATAATTTTGTCGCTGACTCATTTTTCAGCAGTTTTAAGAGTAACTTTATTTTGGAACATCAATATCGGATCTCATTCTCAAACGTGCCATCCGGTATATTTTCAGAATTACAGTATTAATTTTTCGAAAATAATACATTGCGTTTTACGTTCCACGCCTCAAAAGGAATTATTTTAACGTTATATAAGCTTGTTAATGTTAGTGAGTGCACAAGTCTCTCGTTTTAGAAAGTATAGCATAACTTGTACTTTTGGAAAATCCATTAGTCTGAAAAATTTGTACCGGAAAAGGCGGAAATACTGAAGTTGTTCCTAGTCAATGGATGAGTGAGTGTTCGTGTCATGTTGTTTATCCGCACTCTACACTAGAGAAGACGCGAGGAGCAAGATGAGTTGCGGTTTCACTGTAACAGGAGAATACCTGAGAAACAGGTTGTGACCTAGCAACAGTGAGGTATGTTGTCATATTTGTATAATCACCATGACAGTCATGTTATGATACTAATTGCCAATTCATGCATACAGAACTTTTTGTGGATTGCCTCAAACAAGCAGTTGAATGGCTGATTAATTTTGACAACCTTAACTGGTAGTAACATTCTGTCATCATGATTAAAAGGGCATGGCAAATTTTTGCCTGAAACGTGTACGCGGTTATGTTACTTCCTAACTTGAATGTGCCGAGTCTGCAGTCTCGAGTTAAGCGTGTCACTGCATTTTCCAGGCTAGTGTCATGTGAACAAATTGGTTCCTCATTGTTTTCCATATGCAGTATACGACAAATGGTTTCATCTGTGCTGACTTTCCACTTTCCATTGAGTATTGGTGAAAAGCATGTGTTCTGTAGCTTTTACAGCGACCTTGCAGGTGTGTACTCCGATTAGTACTGTTCGCCATACACTGTATTACATCAGAGGTAACAAACTTGTTTGAAACTGTGAGCTACTTACTGGTTAGTGCGAGGGCTTGCAGTTTGAAACACGCTGAAATAAATTTGCTCAGATTACTTTTATTAATATGGTGTGGTTAATATTATTTTATGTGATGACACGAATCATTTTAATGATTTCTCGCAGTAATTAGTAAACATAAATACAAATATCCATACATCCATCCATTTTCCGATCCGCTTTATCCTCAGAAGGGTGGGGGTGGGGTGCTGGCAGTAGGCGGAGGACACCCTGAACTGCTTGCCAGCCGATCGCAGGACACACAGAGATGAACAACCATGCGCGCGCACACTCACACTTAGGGACAATTTAGAGTGTTCAATCAGCTTGCCATGCATGTTTTGGAATGTGGGAGGAAATCGTATTACCCAGAGAAAACCCGCGCAGGGCCGGGGAGAACATGGAAACTCCACACAGGAAGGCCGGAGCCGGGATCGAACCCACGACCTCTGCACTGTGAGGTCGACGCGCTAACTACTGGACCACCAAGCTTCCCTTAAATATGTAAATAATATCAAAAATATAATTGGAAAATTACAAATTGTTTTCTTAGCGATTAAATTTGCATGTAGCACTTCTCCCAGACTTTTGGTACAACTATATGTCATACACGGTGGCAATTTCGCCGTAGAGTCAGAAAACAACGTGAAAACGCCGTGGAGAAATCAATGTCTTCAAGCGAGCAAAGTGGTTGGCAACGTAAGATGGCGTCCTGACCGTAAGCGACATTGTTAGTAATTTCATATACTGTATGTCTGTTTGTCACTGGACAAAATCATGCAGTCATGTCATTTATTTGATCATGCACATTTGCAAATTGCAATGATGCTATAATTTAAAATTTATGTTCACACTTTAGGGACGGTCCATTTTTAGTTAAGTGCTTTTTAAATTTTGCTCTGCATTTTTTGTACTGTTGAGAATAAATGGAAAAAAAAAGTGTTAAAATGTTGAATTAATAAAATTATATTTGTTGTCAGTCACAATGCTTTAAAAGTGATGATTACTTACTTGTACAGTATATGACTGTACTATCAAAAGGCCCCTTGCAGTTGAAGCCAGACGGCAGCCATCTTACATTGCTCCTGTTACTAAATACTTTTGTTTTTACATTGAAGACACTGTTATGAGTGCGTGTTTCATGCCAAGATCACGGAGGGAGCAATGTGAGCCTCTTAAAATAACCAATTTCATTCTTTGTATCGACTATTCCGAGTATATTATCTCAATACAGTAATGTGAATTATGACTGGCAAAGTTTAGGTTTACATATCACAGCCACTTTTTCCTGGTGGGATTTGATTTCATTTCATTGTTGATTTTGACAACATGATGCAGTCCAATCTGTGAGTAGCATTAAGTTATGCACCTCATATAAGAGAAAATTACAAATTGTTTTCTTAGCGATTAAATTTGCATGTAGCACTTCTCCCAGACTTTTGGTACAACTATATGTCATACACGGTGGCAATTTCGCCGTAGAGTCAGAAAACAACGTGAAAACGCCGTGGAGAAATCAATGTCTTCAAGCGAGCAAAGTGGTTGGCAACGTAAGATGGCGTCCTGACCGTAAGCGACATTGTTAGTAATTTCATATACTGTATGTCTGTTGCCAGATTGAATTTCAATAAATAAATACACACACAAACAACGTTCTCCCCAAAAATCTCCCGGTCTTCCATGGAGGTAAAAAAGAAGAGGGTGACTGGAAAAACGAGCACCAGCAGCAGCTCTGAAGTGCGGAGGCTTCAAAATAGTGGTACTGTTGAGAATAAATGGAAAAAAAAAGTGTTAAAATGTTGAATTAATAAAATTATATTTGTTGTCAGTCACAATGCTTTAAAAGTGATGATTACTTACTTGTACAGTATATGACTGTACTATCAAAAGGCCCCTTGCAGTTGAAGCCAGACGGCAGCCATCTTACATTGCTCCTGTTACTACTTTTGTTTTTACATTGAAGACACTGTTATGAGTGCGTGTTTCATGCCAAGATCACGGAGGGAGCAATGTGAGCCTCTTAAAATAACCAATTTCATTCTTTGTATCAACTATTCCGAGTATATTATCTCAATACAGTAATGTGAATTATGACTGGCAAAGTTTAGGTTTACATATCACAGTCACTTTTTCCTGGTGGGATTTGATTTCATTTCATTGTTGATTTTGACAACATGATGCAGTCGAATCTGTGAGTAGCATTAAGTTATGCACCTCATATAAGAGAAAATTACAAATTGTTTTCTTAGCGATTGAATTTCAATAAATAAATACACAAACAAACAACGTTCTCCCCAAAAATCTCCCGGTCTTCCATGGAGGTAAAAAAGAAGAGGGTGACTGGAAAAACGAGCACCAGCAGCAGCTCTGAAGTGCGGAGGCTTCAAAATAGTGTGCAACAAGCATTCCCTTATAAGAACAGGGGAAAACAGCGAAGTGATGCGGACGATTTCTGTCACATTTAACAATGTGCACGGAAGAAGACAGTAGCGTCCTAATCTCTAATTTCAGGCAAATTCATACCTTATATTGAATACATATCTCTGCCGCACATCACTAGTGTATATTATATTTTTATTTTAAAAAAGCAAAAAACGAGAGAACCTCATGAAAATCGTTTCTTTTTGTAAGACCCCCCCACATATCGGTTAAGCAACTTCCTGAGCCCAAAGAAAGAAAAAAAAATACTGGCGCCGTACCTGTATACGTGTAAAATACATATATGTCCATTCAGTAATCCGTATTTGTGTGTGAACTGAAATGCGTCAATAACGTAAAGAAATGCACCAGAAAAGTCATAATTACCTTGTATATTTGTATGTATGTATGTATGTATGTATGAATGTATGCATTACTAACTGTAAATAAATACAGCGATAAATGAGCGTGCCTTCAGTGTCGCGTGATAACGCGTGATAGCCTCAAAACAGGTCATGTATGGAGCCTCGACCGTGGCAATGAAATCATTACCAGGTACAGAGAGGTAAGACGGATATAAATTATGGTTCATAATTTTGTCGCTGACTCATTTTTCAGCAGTTTTAAGAGTAACTTTATTTTGGAACATCAATATCGGATCTCATTCTCAAACGTGCCATCCGGTATATTTTCAGAATTACAGTATTAATTTTTCGAAAATAATACATTGCGTTTTACGTTCCACGCCTCAAAAGGAATTATTTTAACGTTATATAAGCTTGTTAATGTTAGTGAGTGCACAAGTCTCTCGTTTTAGAAAGTATAGCATAACTTGTACTTTTGGAAAATCCATTAGTCTGAAAAATTTGTACCGGAAAAGGCGGAAATACTGAAGTTGTTCCTAGTCAATGGATGAGTGAGTGTTCGTGTCATGTTGTTTATCCGCACTCTACACTAGAGAAGACGCGAGGAGCAAGATGTGTTGCGGTTTCACTGTAACAGGAGAATACCTGAGAAACAGGTTGTGACCTAGCAACAGTGAGGTATGTTGTCATATTTGTATAATCACCATGACAGTCATGTTATGATACTAATTGCCAATTCATGCATACAGAACTTTTTGTGGATTGCCTCAAACAAGCAGTTGAATGGCTGATTAATTTTGACAACCTTAACTGGTAGTAACATTCTGTCATCATGATTAAAAGGGCATGGCAAATTTTTGCCTGAAACGTGTACGCGGTTATGTTACTTCCTAACTTGAATGTGCCGAGTCTGCAGTCTCGAGTTAAGCGTGTCACTGCATTTTCCAGGCTAGTGTCATGTGAACAAATTGGTTCCTCATTGTTTTCCATATGCAGTATACGACAAATGGTTTCATCTGTGCTGACTTTCCACTTTCCATTGAGTATTGGTGAAAAGCATGTGTTCTGTAGCTTTTACAGCGACCTTGCAGGTGTGTACTCCGATTAGTACTGTTCGCCATACACTGTATTACATCAGAGGTAACAAACTTGTTTGAAACTGTGAGCTACTTACTGGTTAGTGCGAGGGCTTGCAGTTTGAAACACGCTGAAATAAATTTGCTCAGATTACTTTTATTAATATGGTGTGGTTAATATTATTTTATGTGATGACACGAATCATTTTAATGATTTCTCGCAGTAATTAGTAAACATAAATACAAATATCCATACATCCATCCATTTTCCGATCCGCTTTATCCTCAGAAGGGTGGGGGTGGGGTGCTGGCAGTAGGCGGAGGACACCCTGAACTGCTTGCCAGCCGATCGCAGGACACACAGAGATGAACAACCATGCGCGCGCACACTCACACTTAGGGACAATTTAGAGTGTTCAATCAGCTTGCCATGCATGTTTTGGAATGTGGGAGGAAATCGTATTACCCAGAGAAAACCCGCGCAGGGCCGGGGAGAACATGGAAACTCCACACAGGAAGGCCGGAGCCGGGATCGAACCCACGACCTCTGCACTGTGAGGTCGACGCGCTAACTACTGGACCACCAAGCTTCCCTTAAATATGTAAATAATATCAAAAATATAATTGAAAACAAACACAACAACTCACCCTGTCGATGACATTCTGAAGGGCTATATAAATAGGGAGATTTGTGATATTATGTTTCCAGCTGCGAGCATATTTACTCCATTAGGCGCGGCGGAAATGTGCGTGACTGCAACCAATGAAGAGGCTAGCTTTTCCTTCTCACTTTGGTTTGGAAGTTGAAAGAAACAGAATCCAGGAATAAATGAACAAAGCAAAATTACAAATTGTTTTCTTAGCGATCAAATTTGCATGCAGCACTTCTCCCAGACTTTTGGTACAACTATGTCATACACGGTGGCAATTCGCCGTAGAGTCAGAAAACAACGTGAAAACGCCGTCGAGAAATCAATGTCTTCAAGCGAGCAAAATGGTTGGCAACGTAAGATGGCGTCCTGACCGTAAGTGACATTGTTAGTAATTTCATATACTGTATGTCTGTTGCCAGATTGAATTTCAATAAATAAATACACAAACAAACAACGTTCTCCTCAAAAATCTCCCGGTCTTCCATGGGGGTAAAAAAGAAGAAGGTGATTGGAAAAACGAGCACCGGCAGCAGCTCTGAAGTGCGGAGGCTTCAAAATAGTGTGCAACAAGCATTCCCTTATAAGAACAGGGGAAAACAGCGAAGTGATGCGGACGATTTCTGTCACATTTAACAATGTGCACGGAAGAAGACAGTAGCGTCCTAATCTCTAATTTCAGGCAAATTCATACCTTATATTGAATACATATCTCTGCCGCACATCACTAGTGTATATTATATTTTTATTTTAAAAAAGCAAAAAACGAGAGAACCTCATGAAAATCGTTTTTTTTTGTAAGACCCCCCCACATATCGGTTAAGCAACTTCCTGAGCCCAAAGAAAGAAAAAAAAATACTGGCGCCGTACCTGTATACGTGTAAAATACATATATGTCCATTCAGTAATCCGTATTTGTGTGTGAACTGAAATGCGTCAATAACGTAAAGAAATGCACCAGAAAAGTCATAATTACCTTGTATATTTGTATGTATGTATGTATGTATGTATGTATGTATGTATGTATGTATGAATGTATGCATTACTAACTGTAAATAAATACAGCGATAAATGAGCGTGCCTTCAGTGTCGCGTGATAACGCGTGATAGCCTCAAAACAGGTCATGTATGGAGCCTCGACCGTGGCAATGAAATCATTACCAGGTACAGAGAGGTAAGACGGATATAAATTATGGTTCATAATTTTGTCGCTGACTCATTTTTCAGCAGTTTTAAGAGTAACTTTATTTTGGAACATCAATATCGGATCTCATTCTCAAACGTGCCATCCGGTATATTTTCAGAATTACAGTATTAATTTTTCGAAAATAATACATTGCGTTTTACGTTCCACGCCTCAAAAGGAATTATTTTAACGTTATATAAGCTTGTTAATGTTAGTGAGTGCACAAGTCTCTCGTTTTAGAAAGTATAGCATAACTTGTACTTTTGGAAAATCCATTAGTCTGAAAAATTTGTACCGGAAAAGGCGGAAATACTGAAGTTGTTCCTAGTCAATGGATGAGTGAGTGTTCGTGTCATGTTGTTTATCCGCACTCTACACTAGAGAAGACGCGAGGAGCAAGATGTGTTGCGGTTTCACTGTAACAGGAGAATACCTGAGAAACAGGTTGTGACCTAGCAACAGTGAGGTATGTTGTCATATTTGTATAATCACCATGACAGTCATGTTATGATACTAATTGCCAATTCATGCATACAGAACTTTTTGTGGATTGCCTCAAACAAGCAGTTGAATGGCTGATTAATTTTGACAACCTTAACTGGTAGTAACATTCTGTCATCATGATTAAAAGGGCATGGCAAATTTTTGCCTGAAACGTGTACGCGGTTATGTTACTTCCTAACTTGAATGTGCCGAGTCTGCAGTCTCGAGTTAAGCGTGTCACTGCATTTTCCAGGCTAGTGTCATGTGAACAAATTGGTTCCTCATTGTTTTCCATATGCAGTATACGACAAATGGTTTCATCTGTGCTGACTTTCCACTTTCCATTGAGTATTGGTGAAAAGCATGTGTTCTGTAGCTTTTACAGCGACCTTGCAGGTGTGTACTCCGATTAGTACTGTTCGCCATACACTGTATTACATCAGAGGTAACAAACTTGTTTGAAACTGTGAGCTACTTACTGGTTAGTGCGAGGGCTTGCAGTTTGAAACACGCTGAAATAAATTTGCTCAGATTACTTTTATTAATATGGTGTGGTTAATATTATTTTATGTGATGACACGAATCATTTTAATGATTTCTCGCAGTAATTAGTAAACATAAATACAAATATCCATACATCCATCCATTTTCCGATCCGCTTTATCCTCAGAAGGGTGGGGGTGGGGTGCTGGCAGTAGGCGGAGGACCGCCTGAACTGCTTGCCAGCCGATCGCAGGACACACAGAGATGAACAACCATGCGCGCGCACACTCACACTTAGGGACAATTTAGAGTGTTCAATCAGCTTGCCATGCATGTTTTGGAATGTGGGAGGAAATCGTATTACCCAGAGAAAACCCGCGCAGGGCCGGGGAGAACATGGAAACTCCACACAGGAAGGCCGGAGCCGGGATCGAACCCACGACCTCTGCACTGTGAGGTCGACGCGCTAACTACTGGACCACCAAGCTTCCCTTAAATATGTAAATAATATCAAAAATATAATTGAAAACAAACACAACAACTCACCCTGTCGATGACATTCTGAAGGGCTATATAAATAGGGAGATTTGTGATATTATGTTTCCAGCTGCGAGCATATTTACTCCATTAGGCGCGGCGGAAATGTGCGTGACTGCAACCAATGAAGAGGCTAGCTTTTCCTTCTCACTTTGGTTTGGAAGTTGAAAGAAACAGAATCCAGGAATAAATGAACAAAGCAGTAAACAGAAAGTAATAGTATCAATTTTTGAAGGTGCAGCTAATCGAGCAGCTGACGGGCAGCATGACCTGGCGTAAATTTCTGAAGATGAAGCTGTTTTGACACAGAAGTTCCTGCGGCATCTCCAGAGAGACGTGGAGGAAACCGTTGTGCAAGGTAAAAAACAAGGTAATGCAACAAAAACCTGTTGAATCATTTGAAGTTGTAGCACCGAGGTGATGAAGTGGAAAGCATGGAAAATGCGTGTAGAGTTTGCACAGCCTGCCCATGTAACCGTTCGCAGTTTAGCCGCTATAACTTGCCGGCAGCCACGCGACAAAAGCATCAAACCATCATGTCTTTTTTTTTTTTTTTTTTTATCCTGCAATTTGCAATGATGCTGTATGTGGGATCACAACTTCAAAATGGTTTTGTTTACATTTCAAGGTGACTAAATTATTCAATTTCCAGTAGCGCACTGTTATTTAATCTTTTGTTATGCTGTTAAACAAAAATGTTTGAAATTAGTGAAAAAAATTTGATGTAATACAACTTTGAATTAAACTATAATTATCCTTGTCAGTAGCAATGCTTTAAAACGGGCAATATAAAGTCCATACTGTTTCAGGGAAAGAATTATTTCATGTAAGGTTGCTCACTTATAAAGATCTTTTCGTCTTCAACACGCCTTTCATTGAATTTTCAGATTTCTATCTAACACTGTACACTGCAACTTGCAAATGGACGGAAGAGCACCTGCGCACCCCAGCCTCAATTCCTCCTACATCCCCGTTGCCCTTGACAACTCTCTTTCATCAGAGGATGAGGAGAGTGAGGATCAGTCTCCTTCATCAGCGTCCCTGGCCGTACGCTACACCCCCGATGACCGCTACTCTTTGGTCTACATCATCTTCTTTCTCATGGGCATCGGCTCTCTGCTGCCTTGGAACTTTTTCGTCACGGCCAAAAGCTACTGGCTTTACAAAATGAGCAACAGCACAGAGGAGCAGCGGTCTGGCCTCAGCGTGAGTATGACATATGAGGGCTGTGTGTGTGTGTGTGTGTGTGTGTGTGTGTGTGTGTGTGTGTGTGCGTGTGTGTGTGTGTGTGTGTGCGTGTGTGTGTGTGTGTTTGTGTCACAAGGATGCATGTGACCTAGTGGATGGGTGGCAGGCAACACATTAACAACATTAGAAGCACCTCGATAAAATAAATAAATCTCGATAAAATAAATGCTGATTGGACTAAATAATTGGTTATTCAATTCATTAAGTTTCCTCTTTTACACGCAGCTCATACAAACTTTCCAAATCGGAGCAGCAACAGAAAACCCTGAAAGCATCCACTATTTACACAGAACAGAGCAAAGTGAAACATTGCGACAATTCCGCGATTTCACACGCATTGCCCAATCAGCTAATTGGACATCATGTGTGTTGACTTCACCTTCAGGTGTGAAATCTAAAATACTTTCATCACATCACCCCTGTCCCAGCATTGCAGGATTGCGTTTTATATACACAGGCGTCGTCCCTCTTTTGGTACAGCCCTAATTTTACCCCTGAAGGTGCAAAATTGATGAATCGACTTTGTCCTCGCATTTTGCGGCCACGTAGAAAATGGCCGCTTTTAGAGGCGAAGTAAACAAAAGCTTATTGAAGACTACTCACCTCTGCCTCTCTTTTCACTTTCCATTCATACCACAACATGTTCTAACATGACTGCCCCGGTGATTGCACCAAGGTCCAAATGGGCATGGGTGGATAAATTTGGCATGCTCAAACTTGAACCAAATGCATCATCTCTGTGATGAACATCGTATGAGATTCACTTTTGAATTTTGTGTGACCAGTGTAGTGAATGTCTGTGACATTTTCGCAGCTATGAAACATTTCCTGAGAAAATTAGCATGGCGTCATATGTGGCCATGTCCGACATAAAATAGCAGGCTCTTAACAAGCTGGATGATTTCTCCCCTGTCCATCAGCAATAATATTTTGCGGGGTAAATTTCCCCATGTGCCACCTTTATTTCTGTGCGCATACTGTCAACAACTCCTTGAACTAATGTGTTGTTATTCTCCTCTCGTTCACAGGACTACTTCGAAAGTTACCTGACATTTGCTTCTACGGTGCCTTCAGTGCTGTGCTTGATTCTTAACTACTTTCTCGTGAACAGGTCACTTGCATCTACATCATTACATGAACTAACAACAAAAATTCCTTTGAAAAAGGCATAAGCATATATCAGTCATAACTGCACTTCTAGGGACTCACTCAAGCAGCTCACACTGTATGTATTAACCCTTTCATGCACCCTGTAACCTGATAACATGGTAAGCTGTCCACTGTAGTAACGGCTGTCCCCGAAAGGGTGAAATCAGATAAGTGATCTGTCATGAAGATGAAATAATAGTTTAGAGAAGGCCCAGCCATCTGAAGGGGTGCTGTCAAACATCTGCTGAAATGTTCTGTCCTGTACATTTGTGGTGCTGGCAACTCATAGTGTTGTGCTCCCTTGTGCTCTCCAGGCTGTCTCCAAATGTGCGCATCCTGTCGTCTCTCTTTGTCATACTGCTGGTGTTTGTCGGGACCACCATACTGGTCAAGGTGGATGTGTCCGGCTGCAGGGAGGAATTCTTTGCGGGCACACTGGCCAGCGTGGCTGTCGTCAGCGGTGCCTCTAACGTCTTCTGTGGCAGTGTGTTTGGCATCAGTGGGCACTTCCCGATGAGGATCTCTCAAGCTCTCATATCAGGTACAGACTTGGGACCTGATTTACACATGTTTTATGCATGGAAAAAGAGGCGCAAAGATGATTGCTCATGCGCAGATGTGGAAGCTGATCCACTAAGCCGGTGTGCCCAGGATTGTGTCCTTCAAATGGGCAATATTGCTGCACAGTTCATTTTGTGCGATATCATTTCACTTTTTTTTTTAAACTGAGAGCTTCTTTGTGGGTACCGATTACTACCATTTGATGCACACTTTTCAATTAATAATTTGCTCAAGTTACCCATCACTACATTAATTGATGTAAAGACATCATGACTTTTTCTTCACAATGATTATCAACAATGACCCAATTTGAGAGGAATCCGATAAATACCAAAATGCAGCAATTTATTTCTCTGAATCTCAGCCAGTGGTTACATTTTCTAATGGTCACTTTGATAACCTTCCTAAGAAATCACAATGTCCCATCACTGTTGAACTAGTTTTTGGAACAGGCCCACGGCTTGCTCATGTGGTCGTTAGTGGCGAGCTTGTCCTGGGTCACAAATGTGTGCGTGACAGCAGTTGAGAACCACTGGTCTTCTTGAGTAATGAGTAAGAGCAGTTCTCCTCTGATAAAAGTACTTTCAACTGTGTATTTTTTTGCGTCTGGGTTTTTTTTTATTTCAGTGCATTGTGGCAATTATTGCTGGCCTCTCCCTGAACAGTTTTCGAGTGTGCTGTCTCAAATATTAAACACAGTGTTATGCAAGATGGGTAGATACATTGTTTGATTTTTATTTGATTGCCACTTTGCCCAGAATTATCAAGCAATAGCAACCTAAATGAGCGAAGACAATTTGGTGTCTTAAATGAATTCAACATGCACGTTTTTTTGGAATGCGGGAGGAAGCCAGAGTGCCCAGAGATAACCTACACAAGCATGGGGAAAATATGCAAACTCCATCCAGAAAGGCAGGAGGATTCAAACCCCATAACTCAGAACTTCTTTCCACCACCAACCACTTACCATCGTGCTGGTCGTTTACAAGTCCTCAAAAGCAAATTTTAAGGTCATTTTGAGTCAGTAAGTTAATGTCCTTGTGTCTGCATACTGTATCCTGTTCTTACTGTCTTAAGTCTTTGTCTGTTTAATTTGCAAAGTGGTTTCAGTGACTGACCATGTAATCCATTTTGTCACATAGGTCAGGCTATGGGAGGAACACTAAGTGCTGTTGCATCAATAGCAGACATTGCACTGGCAAAGGACGTGACCGAAAGCGCCCTGGCGTATTTCCTGACCGCAGACATCTTCATCCTGCTATGCATCTTTGCATACCTCTTCCTCCCCAAGCTGGCCTTCTCAAGGTGCACAAAGATTCATACACGAGCTTTATCTGTCATTTCCTTAATTAAATGAACACCTATTTTATGAAGAGGAAACGTGGATATGAATAAAGAGCCCTTCTTGAGTGGGCTGAAGATAACTTCATCCTTCATTAGTCAGACAGAAGAGAGAATTCACACGCTACAGCAGCTCAAGATGGTGATGTACTAATCACTTTAAAGGGGCTGAAATCTCAATTTTATCACGGAAATGTTTTGTGAAAAGCCACCTCACCAGCGGTAGCTTTGGGCTTGTTTTTGTTTGGCTGATGCTAAAGGCTTTGGTCAAGGCGGATTGACTTCTGAACAGTTTTAATAGTTATTCATTTTGTCTCAGAACCTTCCGATGACTGCTTGAAGAAAGAAACGTCCCCTTTTCCAAATCATACCGACTCAGCCATCCGCATAGGAAATCACTGTTACCTATATTTACGCTTGATTTGCAAAAAAATAAAAAATACAAATATAAACAAAAATTTAGAAACATAAATATAGTATGCAACACACTTGAGTTAACTCCAAGGAACATCCATCCATCCATTTACTAATCTGCTCGTCCTCAAAAGGGTTGCGGGAGCCTATCCCAGCTGTTTTCGGGCAGTAGGTGGGGGAAACCCTGAACCGGTTGCCAGCTGATCGCAGGGCACACCAAGACAAACAACCATTCGTGCTCATACTCACACCTAGGGACAAGGGAGAATGGTCCGTTAACCTGCCATGCATGTTTATGGAATGCGGGAGGAAACCGGAGTACCCAGAAAAAAGCCACACAAGGTGTGGGTGGGGGGGCACCCCTGCACCTCTGCATTGTTTGGCGGATGTGCTAACCAGTCGACCGCCGTGCCGCCTACAAGAAACATGAATAAAAAAATTAGTCTGTGATGATCAATGAAATATTTATCGTTATGCAAGATGTTTTTTTCCTTCATGATAGATACTACATGATGGCTGCCTCGATCACCATTCCAGGAGAGAGCAGCACGGGAGGAGAAGCAGCACCCTCCCAAACACCTCCATTGAAGCCCATTCTCCAGAAGACGTGGGTTCTGGGGATGAGTGTCTTTTACGTGTTCTGTGTGACCATCATGGTGTTCCCTGCGGTGTTGTCCGGCATCCAGTCCGTCGACAAAGACAGCGGCAGCCCCTGGACCAACACCTACTTTGTTCCCCTTGCCGGCTTCCTCCTGTATAACGTTGCAGACTTCTGCGGCAGGCAGTCCACCGCCTGGCTGCAGGTACCGGGCCCCACCAGCCGACTTCTTCCCGTGCTGGTTGTGTGCCGTTCCGTCTTGGTACCTCTCATCATCTTCTGCAACTACCAGCCCAGGGACCACCTCCACGTTGTGCTCTTCACTCACGATGTGTATCCCATTGTCTTCAACTCCCTGTTAGGCTTCTCCAACGGCTACCTGGGGACTCTGCCGATGATCTACGGGCCCAAGGTTGTGCCCCGGGAGCTGGCAGAGGCCACCGGAGTGGTCATGTCCTTCTTCCTTGCTTTGGGACTCACCACCGGATCTGCTCTTTCCCTCGTTCTTGTGCATATTATCTGATTATGTACATTATGCATCGTTAAAGCTCTGAAGGAGCATTGCAATATACACTCGCTCACAAAAGTGAACATCGTAGGACCAGGCCCTGCCATAAATAATGAAAATGCATGAGTAATTGATACCAGCCCAAGAAAGAGTTACAGTTACCTATAGATGTCAAAAGATAGCAGCAAAGCACCAAGTGAAGAGCTTTTAGCTTCCGTTCAGTGGCACCAAAATGCCAGAAGATGGTGGCAACGCAATTTATATTGCTTTGGCGTGAGAACAAAAACAGTAAATAGATCAGCAAATATCTCAGGATAGCTGAACAACAACAAAAAAAAAAAAAATCTGTGAATGCCAACACACAAATAATTTATTGTCCACCACTGACATTTTTGCTATATCTTTTTTAAAGGGACGACATTGAAGAAATGAAGCTATCTTTAGTATTGTGGTTGGAATTTACATTAGTGTACGACTGTACCATGTCATGCTGAGAGTTGCTCCTTGCATGTTTCACTCTTTGATGCAACTAGTGGAGGTAACCTAATTAGCAGACACGGCCCTCGTTATGATGCAATACTGCACAGTTGTACACAAGCGCAAGCCAAAGCCACAATAATACAAAACATGGTAAAATGAATGTGTATCTTAAAGTCTCAGTTGAAAAACAACAGTACAGTATTTGATCACGTTCTCATTTTGGACGTCAAACCGTGCTGTTAGCTGCAGTTATAATGTTGTGGCTGGCTGTTTACATGTTGAAATGAATACAACGTGACCGCACATAAAATCATGTTGTTAAAAGTGTCTTTAATTAACTTTAAGGAAAAATATGGTATGAGTCCAACATGGCCGCATACTGTAACAAATGATCTTTTTTTTTTGTTGTTTTATTGTTTGGTCTTTCCCCTATTCAGGGATTGTGCGACGGTGGCTTGGTGGAGTATAGCCCGGTCCGAAATCTGTGTAGCCTCAGCTAAATCCCTCCAGCATTTATTTGATCTTCCAAAATATGTGTACTGTATACATTATTTTTGTAGCCCTCAATAGGGTCCTTTTAGCCCCAGGAGAAAAAAAAATCCTGGAGCCACCCTTGCCCTTAAGAGACAAATTCTGGTTTTCTGTCATCCAGCCCTCCATTTTTTGCAGCCCTTATTCTCACATGGTTTATGGGTGTGCTGGAGCCGGTCCAAGTTGTCTTCGGGTGAGAGGTGGTGTACACCCTGAACTGGTTGCGAGCCATTGGCAGGATTTTCAGTCATTTTACCACTGCGCTACACTTGCAGATGCGTATATGTACAGGTGGAGCTCAAGAAATTAGAATATCTTGAAAACCATTTGTGAGTGCAACCAAAAAGTGGAACTGATTAAAAAAATGAATAGTACATAAGAAACAATCAACAAGAACTTGAATGAATTGGTCCAATGTTTCATTTTTTTAGTTGAACTAGTGAAATGAACATTTACAATTTTCTAATTGAGATAAACCTGTCAAATCTCTATTGTTTGTATTTATTATTCTCATTCATCTTATTTTTCACATTGTTAATTATCTTTGTATTGTTATTTTTATTACTTTTACACTGAAGCGTTAATTTTCAATCTTTGCTTTGTTATTGAAATCTTTGGGTGTTATTGAAAAATGGTGTTCACTTACGGCAATTGCCAAAAGAGGGCAGCAAAGGGCAACGTTGAGAGCACTTGTCAGGGAAGCGCTCAAAATACCTCCCCCCCCCCCTCCAAATACTTCAAAACACACCTACGTAACTCCTGACAACCGTTGTGCATTTTTAACAAACATACTTTTATCAGTAAAATGATGGATCATTATAATATATTAGTTAACTCCTTCATCTGGCTGGAACTGAAGGCCACCCAAGTTACCAAAGACTATCTCAGTAGTACAACAGTGACACATGGTACAATCGATTCGCCTCGTCAGTGTGTATTTGATTCTTAATTCGCTCATCAACAAGCAACTGCTTCGGTGGAAATCGCAGTATAAAGTGTGAATCAACAAATAGATGTGTCTGCACTTCTACACTTTTTTCTGAATATTGCTGCATTTATTTGTTGTACTGTACTGTGAACTGTACTGCCTCTTTCATCATGACGTACGTGGCGGTGCCTGTTTGGTAAAGACAAGGGGCGGAAGGTGGATTTTATTTTATTGTTTAACAACATTTCACACTGCCACTACCTTTGGCATTGTAAAACCTCCAGTGCTTTCCATGAAAACCACTCGTGACTTTGTATGCATTTGCCATGTGATGAATCTTAACATATCTCCATCAAGCAGAAGTGAATGACCGTTTGTGGTTTGTGATCACTTTTGATTTTTACAATGCACAGATGGCTCAGGTCATTTACAAGTTATGTTTACTGTATCAACAATAACATAATGTTAAAACGTGAATCCAAAATAGTTATTTTATGCAATAAAAGAATTCATTTTCATTGTTTTACTTCATCAATAATTACATTGGAAATATTAATTATTTAGACAAGAAAAGGTCTCTCTCTCTCTCTCTCTCTCTCTCTCTCTCTACCTGTGATGTCATGTCAGTGTTCACAACAATAACAAACCACACAGATTGTTTTTAAGCTAAGAAATATAATTTATTGCATAAAAATTATATTTAGTTACAGGTAAGAAGGCTAGATGTTTATTTACAATTGGTACTTTACAGAGATAAAATGTCACGGAAATACAGTTTTTTAAAACATTTGTTTTTGTAAAAAAATCTTTCTATTCATTCTTTTTTTTTTAAAGAACGTACTTTTGAACAGGAACAAAGAGGAGTTTAGTCCATTTGCAGCAACATGTAACAGAGCTACATTGAACAATCCAAAAAGATCTGAGAGAATAAATACTGGTCTTCATTAGCCAGTCTCTGCAACAAGAAAGCCACTAATAGCGTCCATGACCTTGATCCAATTATCCAATCCAGAAAGTTGCACCTCAGGACAAAAAAAAAAAGTTTTGCCGCTTTTTGTTTGATACAAAATCAAAAACCCTGTCTTGTGTTATGCTTTTATTTGAAAAAATAGATTTATTCTTTTAGGAGGCAAGAGAAGTCAAGATGCTTTTCTTTTGCTCTTGCATAGCACTTAAAAATGTACACCCCGCCTAACCTGTGCGTGCATGCGCGCGCGCACGCGCTTGCACACACACACACACACACACACACACACAAACACACACACACACACACACACACCCACACCACACACACACACACACACACAGACTAGCATTCAAGCATTAGATAGACCGAATGAAATGTCCACACAAATAAATGTACACATAAAGGTGAGGTGTGAAGGGTTGTCCCGTGCACAAATAAAACAGCATACAGACTCACGCACCCCAAATCATTCAACCAGTGACATGACTCACTGCAGAAGGGATACTTCCGGTGTTTTGGTTTTGAAATTTAAAAGATAAAAACACTTTTTTTTTTTTTTTTTGCGAACATTGTTACAATTCCAGGTGTAACAGACATCATCGGTGTTTCCCTCCTCGCGATGACTGAAAACATGGATGGTAGTTAACACTGACGATAAAAATAGCTTGAGGGTCCTGGCCACAAAACAGGCAGTTTAGAAAACAGAGTGGGGATAGAATGAGAAGAGACTTAAACATAGCTTAGTGTTGAGGTAAAAGTAATACACCTTTGCCTGCCTTATTTTTTTCAAGGCATAGCTAATCTATTCTGACAACTTTATTTGTTAACTCCAACGGCACCTCTTCTGACGTACAGTGGAACCTCCAAAGTGGAACCCCTTAAAAGCGATACAATTTCAACCAATAACCCCTTGGGAAAAACAAGTTTAAAAAAAATAATAATTGAAGTCAGCTCAGTGAGCATCGAAAGACTACTCCTTGCTTATTTATCAAGCAGGTGCTAAGCTAAAAGGTATGCAGCTGAAGTTAAAATGGCAAATGAATAGCATTAAAATTGCCAGAGACGTTTGCCAACAAACGGCACATTCAAAGAGATGCAGCAAAATGAAGAAGAAAAAGAGGCAGAGAAGGTCCCCAATTATGTAGGTTCCATTAGAGTCCATGGACCCACAGAGCAGAGAAAAAAATATATGACTATCAGTATTGTTTTATGCCGCTCCGTATGGTCTAAACAAGCAGCGGATTCTTCTGTATGGTTTTGTTGAACAGTTTGAAATTGAATAATCTTTTGCTTTAGGTGTCAGTTTTACAGTAAGGGCCAATTACTTATTTATATAATCCTAATTGAAAAACTGCATGCGGAAGAGTCTTATTTTGGTTTCCTCAGAGTGATATGGTATGATAGTCTCCAATTTTTTGGACAGAGCGAGAACGAGAACAGGCACTAAGGAATAGTTTCTGCATTTTAATAAGTTGAAAATTGTTTAAAGCATGTTGGGGGGGTGGGTCAGGGGGGATTTAAAAATGTTTTTAAATATGTTATCTCTGTTTGGCATATTTTCACCTATTGTGGGTAAATTGAGAACAAATAATTCCCAGCATTCTCCCCCACCAAAAATGTTGACTATCACGTTCTTATACTGACACATGCTGTGAGAGAAACACCTTTTATTTTTCTTAATTTCTTTACGTTTCTTGCATACTCACCCCGTACGTTTATTTCTGTATTGACATGTACTGTATATTTATCTTGCCTCAACCCCACCTGGTTTTCTGATGCTACCTGCACAATATTTTTCTTTGATTATGGTCATGTAGATTTTGTTGTATTATGCAACTAAATAAACAAAAACTACCACAAAACACAAGATGCGTTGCAACTCAGACAGACGTAAAAGGCTCCAGTAAATCTTGCCACAAGTGACAGTGTCATCTTCTTGTCAACACCTTCCTGATCTCTCTCAGAGTGGGTATTTGGACATGGTTTATTTTATTTAGTTTTTTTTTAAATCCAGTTTTATCCAGTGATACACAGGGGCTAGGGACTCAAGCCTGCCATGATTATTGAAAAGTCAGAAAGTCAAACACTGCCTATCACTGCCACGAGGTGGCGGCAAAGCATCACTTTTATTTTAGACAGGGCTTTGGCCTGAGGCTCGAAAGTCGGTAAGCTTTATGACAGACGCTAGGTTCCTCTTCAAAAAAAATCATTGGGTGTATGGGGAACACTAAGCTTGTATGATAGTTAAGAATGCAAAGTTTTTTAATGGCGCCACTGACTCTGAACCAGATCAATCTGCAGCTTGCAACTGATCGTGTTCGACTTTGAAGGCTCCTCTGTCTCGCAGTGGCATGAAAACACATTAAAAGTACAAAATGGTGTCGTTCCCAAAGACTGAGCGGTCTGCTGTGTGCTTAAATCTACTGCATGGCCTGCTAGTAGAAATAGTACACAGACAAAACAAAAGCGAAGAGAGAACAGCAAAGACAAACGATCCCAAATATGGATGATAACTTAAAGAGCGTTCCCCAAAGGAAACTTTTAAAGGATGACCAGAAAACTCTTGCAATTTATTCTCAGCGGATGGTAGTGCGGCAAAGTGGGAGGAGAGATTACGCACAGGCACCCCCCTGCCAGTTGCAATGATATAGTGTGCACGCCAAGGCTTTGAGGCATTTTGCTAGTACAATAGAAACAGTCACTCGTTCTACTCGACGAGATAAGAAGAGCCCAAAGCCAGACGCTCAAACCCGAACGCTTCCTTTTCGTCCTCGTTTGATTCGTCCGCAACCAATAAGCGAGAAATGCGAGGCAGTCTTAAGCGAGAGCCGATTAATGACCGCTTTCTTTTCGGAGTGCGTCTGCAGCCCGCGGTGCTCGCACGCACGACAATGGAGATTTGCATCGGTGACAAAACAATCAGGCGACTGGCCCGAGGTGTGATGGTGTTCAATCATGCACTTCCATGCTGCTACTCAAACATGGGTAATCCCACGTCTGCTTTTGTATTATTGTTCATACTTCAGGGGGCTGAACACATTCTTTTTTTTGTTTTCTACCCTGAAAGCAGCTCTATTTATATACAGTACATTAACGTGGTCATTTTCAGACACTTTTACTTTCTTTTTTTTTTTTTTCAAACAAAAAACATCTTAAAACCGATTTCAAATCCCCACACCGCTTTGGAGAATTCAAACCCAGTGGTTATGTAAATGAGTTTATGAAGATGTGTCCAAGAGGTAATAGAGTACATGGAAAAGGAACTCAAATGCTTTACCATCTGTGTCGCAGTGGACATTTTCATAGGCATGTTTATGATTTGTCGCATTTACTGTATGTTCTTGTTCCTTCACCAATCAACAATCACCATCTGTCGTCATGACAACCAGCACCTCACTCTTGCCCATCTCCTCGAGCGCCGTCGCCAGAGAGACCAGGTCTGCGTCGCCTTGGTGACAAGCTTCCCACAAGTCCAGGAGAACTCCTGTGGGGCTGGGCTTTGTTGCAAAGTAGTTCAAGTACCTGGGGGGGGCAGTGGGGGGGGGGAATGGTACAATTAGACAACTAGTCAGTGGAAACGCCATCACCGAAAATTCAATTCAGAGTCGTTGTCTGTGGATTTTTCAGTATGGCCAAGGTATTGCAAATTAATCCCGGTATCTGGTGCAACGTGCTGGGGAAACTTTTGACTTTTAGTGGTGTGTTGTGCGATTTTTGTTTTCCAATGTAAAATATGCGCCCTGGCTCAATAAATGTTGGGAAACACTACTTGAGTCCATTGCTGATCTTGACAGAATAAAGCTCACCTGTCAAAGCCTAAACTGCGTGCCAGTAGTCTCCAGTCACACCCTCTGGCGCTCGGCGCGTCCAAACTGGCGCAGATCTTCTGGCGGATGGAGCAAGGCAGGCGGAAGGCATACGGTCCTACTTGAGAAGAGGGCAGACAGGAGCCTGCTGCGGGGAGCGGCGAGTGAGGCGGTAGAGTCTGCGTTGGGAAGAACAAAAAGCAGAAAAGGGTTGAGAACAATCTCGCGGCGAGGATCTCACGGGAAGGATCTCGCAGCGAGTAAGTGATGGCTGACATTACCTCCTGGATGTCGGTGTGCAGCTGAAAGATTTGTCCCTCCCCTTCCACTTGTCGCACACAGATTTTACAAGAGAGGAGTGACACGGCTAGGCTGCTTCTCTCCAGGCTGAAGGTGCAATGCAGAGGTCTCTGACTGCCACTCCAAATGTGATAGAATGGGATCTCCTGGTAGAAATAATAATAAAACTGAATCTCAATAAGAGACGTTTTTGCTTTGATGAGGTTTTGTATTTTGTAACACAGTCAATGTCACAATGTCTTTCCGCTATTCACAGCATTGTGTTTAGATGGAAGGGCTAAGGGAACTCACCTGGTACTTGGCCAGCAGTTTGCTTCTCCAGTGAGTGTGAGGAATGTCGTGGATGGAAAGACGCAGGTTGTGGTAACTGTCTTTGAACAGCAACGGCTTGGGATCCTCCAGTAAGACCCCACCGAGACTCCGCTCCAGATCCAGCACTTCCTGGATGCAGACAAGATTTGGGGGTTTACTTCCAGCATCGATTTTGTATGGATTTGAACACTGGATGGATATACATTAAGTGACACTGATACCATAACGTGAGATGAAAAACAAACAAAATGAAGCACAAAGGAAGGAAAGGAAGAAATTGGAAAATGGAAAATTACAGGTGAGACAGAAAAGAGACTCCATCTCCCACCTTGAGTGCATGAGGGGTGTCATGGATGCAGTATATGCGAAGGCTGTAGTCCAGAGAGAGGCAGGGCGCTCGGGGTGCGAACAGAGCCAACTGTAGGCGCTTGCAAGCTGGTTGCGGGGGGCACGACTGACCCACCAGGCCGTACGTGCCAAGCTGCTCCATGAGAACATGACAACACTCCTCCTCCAACTGTAGATAGCACGGAGAAGACAAACTTTCCTCTCCCACCGTCAGCACCTCCTGGGGTGGGGGGGGGGGACAAAGGAGTGAATTGAGTCTCAAAAGAGACACTTGACTCATTCATACACGAAGCAGTCTCACCTCCCATGCTCCCTGGTGTGTCTGCGTCTTCAGTGTGAGGGTCCAATCAGGTGTTGGCGTGTCAAGCTGGGCACAGTGTGGCAAGGTGAGGACAACAGGGCGATTGAGCAGCAAAGCAGACGGACCGCAGCTCACTGCGGGGCTCAGCACAGTCTGACTGCCCTCAGATGGCAAACTGTGAACACCACACATCAGGTCGTATCAAGAGGTGCCAAAACATCACATTCAACTTCAAAGGGCACAGCTGTGCTTTTTTCAAACATGACACAGTCATAACATGAGGAAAAACATTTCTGACTGAAGCGAGGTTTTGTAGCGCACCACGTGGGCTTGAAGAAATGAAGACGAGATCATGGGCACTTACGTCGTTTTGTCCCATTTGCTGATAATGAGGTACATTTCATAGAACTTCCCCTGGGGGATGGTGCCAGGCGGGACCAGCAAACTCACACCTATAGAGAAGGTGGCTTTTGTGTAATCCGGGACAGACTTGTTCACATAAATACATTTATATATATATTCATATGCAGGTACACTGACGATACAAACAATCGTAAAATGAACTGCCCAATCTCATGGCATACTGCTTAAAAAGATGTATAAAAAATGTCTTCATGCTCAGTATTGATTGACATTGTCAAGAGAGGTATTCATTTGACAATACGGTAAATTTACAGTAGCCTATATCTGGATGATGTTTGCAGTGGTGTAGCTGTACTGCATCGTATTTGCTTGTATTTTATTTTAGTATTAGTCACGTCGTTGAATACGGCAACCAAATGTTGCCGTACGACTTAAAGCAATTTGACGCTGCTGTAAAAAATAATGTAGAGAATTGTTGAGTAATATTTGTGGTGATGAAGTTTCTTTCATGCAATTCTTGAATTGGATCTATATAGATTCATCGGTTTGTTCATGTTATTATTTTTAAGGATTCTTTGGAAATATTATTTTTTTTAAATTTAACCATATGAGCCAAAAACTACATTATCAATTTGAAGGAATTTTGTGGAGGATTGTCACATGTGGTGAGGAACGGACCATTCAACCTTGTCGCAAAAAAACTGTGGTTGACTGTCTCCATCGCTGTTCAATTTCCAATTGAAACATTCCCCATGCTCCGGAATGCAAATGGTTGAGTCCGATCTGTCCAACATCAGTTTTCTTAAACCAAAAAGTAGCATGCTAATAAAAAAAAAAAAAAAAATTATCAATTTGAAGGAATTTTGTGGAGGATTGTCACATGTGGTGAGGAACGGACCATTCAACCTTGTCGCAAAAAAACTGTGGTTGACTGTCTCCATCGCTGTTCAATTTCCAATTGAAACATTCCCCATGCTCCGGAATGCAAATGGTTGAGTCCGATCTGTCCAACATCAGTTTTCTTAAACCAAAAAGTAGCATGCTAATAAAAAAAAAAAAAAAATGGACAAATACCGGTGAATGATTTATGTGGTTTTTAAAATGGATTCTTTTTCTGTTGCTATTTTACCCCCACTACAGAATTTAAAATGGTAGAGTGCAGTCATCTTTCATCATCCTCTGTGAGCCAGTGACGTTATAGTTCATCTAAGCATTGCACACATTTCACATTTTGAGGCCACAGAAGCACTCCAACCTACAGTGCTTCATTGACATTCTTCCAGGGACCGAATTGATCTCTGAGTGTCTCGAGATTCCTGAAAACTCCCAATTTTTGTTTTGCTGGAATGTGTATTTAGGGGTTGTGAATATGACATCTGTAGCACCCCCTGAGAAGTTAGAAAAATGTGCCTGATTTCACTGCTAAACATGACATTTGATGGACACGTCTCTCATCATAGGATGCATGCAAAAATCTCATGGACCATTTCCTGAAATTCAACAGCAAATCTGCCATTTTCCTTTGAACCAGCCATCTTTAGCACCTTCCAGCACTTGTTAAATTCCTACAAGGGAATTTGCCCAAATGAGGTCCAATGGGAACCAGATGGGCGACGCTAAATTTTTGGCTCTCTACATACTATTTTCCTTTATTTAAACCTGTAATGTCTCCGGACTGTCTCCCAATTTCATGATGAGTTGAGTACATTTTGAACAATTTTAATGCTTGCGGTGACTACCTGTGTTCGGGATGGTGAGGCGCCCCCCCAGGTGCCCCAAGGTGGCGCTGGTACTCAACCCGGGCTCCCTGGACAGCGTGTGGCTATGGAACTGTCGCTCCCTCCCGCCGGTGCCCACCGACTTCAGGCTGAGGATGTCGCCGTCTCCTGAGCACATATCAGCGGGGATCTCCAGCGACGATAGCGTGGAGGAATTATACACCTTGATTTTGAGACTGGGCAGGGGATCCAACAATGGGGATGTGGTCATGGGGATTTTGTGGTGGCTTTCGTTAACACCCTGCTGCAAGGAATAGAGCGGCCCACGGAATGCTCCCGCTGTGGCCGTCAGGTCGGGAGGAGCGGACGGATGCAGAGGGTGGAGGTTATCTGTGGACACACACACACACACACCCACACACACACACACACACACACACACACACACACAAACACACACACACACACACACACCTAGCTAGCAGTAACAAAT